CAGCAGTTAGGACGCTCGCCGACCATGCACAGGGTCCGGGGTTCGATCTCCGGCCGACGCACTCCTTTACCTCTCTGAGCTAGAAGTAATGCTGGTGAAGAGGAAAGGTTGGGCATGAGGCTAGCAACCTGATCCTGTAAAAATAAACACTGCTACAGAAACTTCAAGCCTCTAGCTTGGAGCCCTATGTTCCACTGGGAGCGGGAAGGAAAAAATAAAACATAATACCGATATAAACTAATGATTACTTAGAGGTCAAAATACAATATGCCTTCTAAAGAGAGTTATGAGGTAAACATTATGGGCTTATATGTATCCGTTTAAGGCTTTGAAACAGTCTGTATCAAGAGAGTGGTTTTGGTTACACTTACTCAGTAATATCAGGATAATAATAAACGTAGTCATGCCTTATTATCCTAAACAGTGGCTAGTATCTTAATATATGCAACATTAACACAAATGCAGTCAGCTCCAGTGATAGCGTGAGGTCAGTATCAACACTTATATGGGTAAATTGACGAATTTTTAGAACACACACAAACCGCAACCAGAGAAAGAAGCACTAAAAGAATGCGTAAATGAATGAATACACATGTGCTTCACAAATATATTTTATCCCAGAAAAGTAGACAGTTCTGGCAGCTGCAGTGATACTAATTATAAACATGAGTATATAAAAGATCAGTCCGCAATGATAGAACAAGTTCAAAAATCAAACAACATACCAAGGAAACTTTGTACATTGAAAATCAACGTCCCAACACCATTCTCATGCAAAAGAAGGAGGGAAATACCTCTTAACTGCTTCAGAGAAGGATGTGTATTCACGCAATTTTATCAAAAGGTGTCTGCAGAAAATTCTCAACAACAGAACAAAATCAGCATTTAAAACCGATAGAAAAATAGTTCTGGAACCACTGTTAGAATTATGAAACCTTAAATAGAGGAAATACTGGGAACGTCAGATAACCACAAGAGGTCTGAAACTTCGATCAATCTGCACTTAAAGACACACTAGATAAATGATATTTATCGATCCATATAAATGATGTACAGTCAGTGGGTTAAATACCTAAGGAGCGAAGAGACCACATAATTATAAGAAAAACTCTGCATATAACTAGTCTCAGTTAAGCTCAACTGGAATTCCAGAAGCAGAATTTATCTTGTGTCATTTTGGAGCAAAATTGTTTGTGGAATTTTCGATGAGTTGCAGGGAACATTATATTATGGCTAGTGCATGGAAGTTCACTTTTCAATTCAGTACAAGTCAAATTGTTCGAGGTAAAATGAACAATACCAACAGCTGGTTTGATCACAAGAAGTAGTTTTGCTCCAAATATCACCTAAATAGAAAAACACCATTGTCTGTAAAGAAATACTGAAACCTAAATATAATTAATTTGATCCATTCCACAATGCACAAACTTTTCACAGACGTTAACTGTACAATTTTACTGTTGTAAAGATCAAGAGTTTTAGTGGCAAATCTTTTAATCATTTTTGAATTTTTCTATTTTGATTGACTATGTGAGAATTTGATAAGATGCCTATAGAGAATGTGACTCTTTATTATCTAAAGTGTATGTTATCGTATGATTTTTATAAGTACCATCCTCTCAGTAATATATTAATGTTTTGGAAATATTTTTCGGGCAGTCATTATCCATATGTTCCATTCAATAAAGTGTTCCATCTATCAATACTGGATAGATACCTTGATAGACATTTGCAAGTGGACTGGAGGAATACATGCTAAATCAAAGCAAGGTCATTATTATGTCGAACAATCTTACAGAAAGTCAAAGTTCAGTGTGTGTGAGTGAGATTAAGAAAGTACAGAGCTATTTAAACTCTGGGAGACGTATTTTCTCATTCGTGAATAATAAAATATATTAGAAGTAGGAGAATATTTTACAAAAGGGAAATTTTGTTTTGTTTGTTTCAACAAGTGAATTAGCATAATTAGAACTCGGGGTTGTTCAGTTAAGGGAAACGATACAATAATGAAGTAATTTTTGTTTTATATAAAAATCGAAAATGCAAATTATATATATATATTGTATATTCATCCTCGTATCTTCTTGGCGAGAATTTAGGTCATGTAGAAGATGATTTTTACTCAATAATGCATTAATGCCACAATTATCTAAGAATAATTAATTAAAAATTATTGTAATTCAACCTTACAGCCGCCTTCACTCGATACTGAGGTCAGATGGCAAAAAAAGATAGCAAATGAGATACTCTGGGAACGAACCCGACCGAAAGCTGCTACCTTGACCTGGTGGTCGGGCTTGAACACTGCAATGACCCAACAAGCTATACTGGCTGGAACTTATGTTCCTGCAGGTCCTACCATGCCAGAAAGGTTGCTTGGATAGCAGTTAGACTAAAAGCAGTTACCCAATCCAATCCTATGATTTCAAATACATCACAAAATATCATGCCGGATCGGTCGGGGCCCGGATTAACAACGACCGCGCTTTCTGCTGCCGTGTCACAGGGCAGAAGTGATAAATACGCTACTGAGACACACCAAATAAAAAAGAACAAACAAAAACAGGCCGTGTGTGACCAGCCTCATGCAGTTGTCCCCTGGGCTCTGCGGTCACGCAACCAACTTCCACGGTGTGGGCAGCCGGGAAGTAACAACCGCCCTCACAATCCGAAGTGCACGCGAAACCCCTCTAATCCTCGCTCATCTTTGTCTCCATCTTCATCTCTATTATCTTGCCTTCCTTCTACTGATGAAACTCCTCTACTTGATGGCTCTTCACTTCCTCTTCAATCTGTGTGCACTGACAACGATGGAAGCCAAAAAGCCACCACCGATGGTCTCCTAAAACCACGCCACCAATTTCATATAGGAGCATTTAATGTTAGGACACTTTGCCAAATAGGACAACAAGCATCACTAGCCAAGACTCTGGCATCCCGAGCCATTGATGTATGTTGTGTTTCAGAAACCCGCATACAAGACCCAAGTGTGGTTATTCACCTAACCCCACCTGGCCAACAGGATGAATCTGCAAAATTCACCTTGAGGGTGTCAGGAAATGCGACGGCTAGCTCACGAGGATTAGCTGGTGTTGGGATAGCTTTAAGTACTAGAGCAGAAAAGACATTACTTGACTGGATCCCGGTAGATAGCCGAATGTGCGCTGTCCGTCTGAACGGATCAGTGAAAAGGAGAAAGGACTGCACTACTCGCCGATGCCTTTTCGTAATCTCCGCCTACGCCCCCACTGACTGCAGTTCGGATGAAACGAAGGATGAGTTCTACCAAAAGCTGTGTAGTTTGCTGCAAAAGGCTAGACGCTCAGATATAGTCGTTATAGCTGGTGACTTTAATGCTCAAGTAGGGAAATTGTGTCAATCTGAGAAGAATGTCGGTGGCACATACGGAATTCCGTGCCAGCGAACCGACAACGGTGACCGTCTCCTACAGTTCTGTTCAGATAATCATTTGTATCTTGTAAGCACTAACTTCAAACACAAGGAGAGACACTGTTTGACCTGGCGACCCCCATCATCAAATCAACGCTGGACACAAATAGACCACATAGCAATAAGCTATCGTTGGCGTGGGTCGGTAGGAGATTGTCGCTCCTTCTGGAACACGTGTGTAGATACCGATCACGCACTGGTCCGCGCTCGTGTGTGCTTACGACTGAACGGACGTAGGAAACAGCTGGCGGTAAACCCATCACTTCCCCAGCTCGACCAGGGAACTAAGTCCCTATTTGAGGAAGAACTAGCTAAACACATATCTGAGTTCGACAGCTGCGCTCACCCTGAAGAAGCCTGGAAGAATATTCAGTCAGCTATAGATACAGCTGTAAAAGCTGTGAATAAGGTAAATCCAAAGGTGAGTAAAAACCATTGGGTTTCGACTGCCTCATCCGAACTGATAGATGCTAGAAGACTTATACCGGCGAGCTCCGAATTCAATGAGGAGCGAAAGCTGCACAAAAAGAAACTTACGAAAAGTCTCCGCAAGGACCGTGAACAGTGGTGGTTGACAAAGACGAAAGAGATGGAAAAAGCATTGGCGATAGGCAACACCAGACAACTATTCAGGCTTATCAGGGAAACAGGTGGTAAAAGGCAAATGATAAGCGAAACAATCTCCGAGAAAAATCGCACCATAATTAGCTCCCAGGATAGACGTCTGGAGCGCTGGAAAGAACACTATGAAGAGCAGTTTAATTGGCCCACAGCCACACTTAACCTGCCGGACATCCAACACCTCCCTGAATGGGAGATAGACACAGGTCCTCCGTCCTTAACTGAGGTTACTAAAGCTGTCACCAATCTGAAGCAAGGCAAAGCAGCGGGACCTGATTTATTGACTCCAGAGGTATTTAAGTACGGAGGAGACAGTTTACTGTCTGCGTTAACGGAGGTTCTAGGCAGCGTCTGGGAATCAGAGGAAGTCCCATCGGGTTGGTGTAAGTCGCTGATCATCCCGATATACAAGAATGGGGACAAGTCGTCTTGTGATAATCACAGAGGGATTAGCTTGACTAATATAGTATCTAAAATCCTAGGCTCAATAATACTGCGTAGACTAAGTGGTGCTCGGGAGACACAAACACGAGAAAGCCAGGCAGGTTTTAGGCCAGGTAGAGGGTGTATTGATCACATCTTCACCCTTCGACAGATTCTAGAACATAGGCATTCCTACCGGCGTCCGACAATCATCATATTTCTTGACCTAAAGGCGGCATTCGATTCTGTCGACCGGGAGGTTCTCTGGCGATGCTTGGCTGTAAAGGGAATGCCAAGAAAATACATTGCACTGATTAAGGCACTCTACTCATACTCATGCAGCCAGGTGAGGGCTTATGGCGAGTTGTCATCTGAAGTGGTGACGACTAGTGGCGTCCGTCAAGGATGCCCATTATCCCCATTCCTATTCAATTTCATCATAGACGTACTAATGGACTTAACCCTATCACACTTCAGCGACTCAGGGATTGACTTGCGACCAGGGAATAATCTCGTTGACTTAGAATATGCGGACGATATAGTCCTTCTAGGCGAGGACTCTGACAAAATGCAGAGTCTACTGAACACCCTGAGCAACAATCTCCGTATGTTTGGCATGCGATTCGCCCCTGTAAAATGTAAGATGATGCTGCAGGATTGGACTTCATCGACCCCTAGATTAGAAATAGGAAGTGAAGTGGTAGAACACGTTGACCGCTTCAATTACTTGGGAAGTACCATCAGCCCCAACGGGTTGATCTCAGACGAAATTTCAGCACGAATACAGAGGGCTAGGTTCGCATACGCCAGTTTTCGCCGTCTCTGGCGTAGACGCGATATCCGACTATCGACCAAAGGGCGTGTGTACTGCTCAACAGTCCGCTCCGTCCTCCTTTATGGCTGTGAGACCTGGCCATTGAGAGCAGAAGACATGAAAAGATTAGCTGTCTTCGATCATAGGTGTCTGCGTTCTATCTCCCGCGCGAAGTGGTATAATAAGGTGAGCAATATTGAGGTTAGGCGTCGAGTGCTAGGTAAGGCGGGGAAATCAATCGACGAAACGGTGAAATTACTTCGACTGAGATGGTTAGGACATGTGCTACGTATGCCTAGTCATCGCCTTCCTCGACGGGCAATGTTAGCTGATATAGGGCCAGGCTGGAAAAGAGCTAGCGGCGGTCAAACGAAAACATGGCACCAATCAATGAAATCTACAACAGTTAATCTAAGCCACGTAGGAAGATGTAGACTTCCTGGTTGGGGTCCTCGGGACGGTAAAAACCAATGGTTGGAAACAATTGGTGACATGGCTCAAAATCGTTCTCAGTGATGGCGCAGATGCATCCACTCCTTGTGACTTATGATTTCCAATTAAACTGTTTTGTTCTCCGTTATTACTATTCCTTTGTCTCACACCTCTGTTTACTGTCTATATTATGCATTTCTTCTACTTCCTTCTCTTGCTTTGCGTGCTACATAGATTGTGGCGACTTGAACTGCCGCACATATGTGCAAAGTTCTATGTCGAAAACCGACCGACCGACCGACCTGGGAACGAATGAACCAAGAGCCTACTGTCCAATAAATTCACAGTGAAAAATGGCAATGAACCCGACTCACGCCAAGGAGACCGTCGAGCGGCATCACTCATCAAGCCGTCGAGTGGAATCCAAGTGGAAAACAGCTAGTTGGGAGTCTGAGGATGAAATAGACGAGACCGTGTAAGGTGAAGATGAGGGCCTATGAACAGTCGCGAAGCCAGCTAAAGGGAATTGCAGAGAAAAGGACAAATCAGAGCTGTATTGATGAAGCCCTAAGTTCTACTTAGAACCCAAAGGAATAAGAAAAACTTACATGGTGGTTGAAGGAAACTGTAATTTCATTTTTTTGGCCGATCCTTGGGACCTCGTAAATACTGTGGTGTAAATTTATGTTCATTTCATTTGGCTTTTAAAAGATACAACACTTATTAAAGATGTGAAATCTTCGGCAGAACAATTGATGAAGACGGGAGTTTATCGTAGCTTCCCAGGTTCACTATGCTTTTTAGGTTCATTTTAACAGTAGCATTTTTATTGAGATCTAAACAATCCCGAAGACTCCAGCGGTCCTGTTTATTTTCGTAAAGCGTTTGTGACTTCACTTTTCTTGGAAATAAATAGACTGACAGAATGGAATTCGTAATAACTGTAGATATCCACAACTCTGATGATAGTGACCGAAAAAAGTTTGTTTCTATGTCAGGTGTACATCTCTGTCTGCATGCAAACTCTCAAAATAGACGTTACGGGGAGTGGTTTTCACAAACTTCTTTAGAAACGTTTATTAAGGTGTAACGCCCAAAGATGTGACAGAAATCAGAAAACAGGTTACTCAACAGATAAATAAAAGTTGTTTTCACCATGCAGATTAAATTACAAGATTGAGGATGTTTTCCCTACTGACTAATTTAATGTCTGGACATCACATTTAAGATCTCAACTGTTCAAAATATACTCAGGAAATTATACGAAAACGTTAGTGACTGGATTTATTTATTTCCTAGACCCATATTAGTTTTGTAGATGCTTATTCAAGTATGTTTTCGAAGTACTTCCGTATGTTTGTTTACCCTTAATGGATTTTATCAATAAACGGGAAACTGAACATACTTATAATCTCTATAAAAGCTTGCTTATTGAATCATTATATACATTCAGTGCAAATGCGACTACATAAGTAAATAATATAATTTTTTTCGTCTTCGCCCACTTACTTGTTAGGTTTCAAAAATGCCAGGAACATCAGACTTTCAGTAATACTCGATAACATTTTGTTACGCAGGCTTTCAAAAGCTGCAGACTTAATGAAAATACTAAAGCTATAATAAATATGAATAAAATACCTCAAATGGTTAAGTGGACAATAAAATTCGGAATCCTGGAAAGCTCAAGACAGAGTAATTGCATCGGTGAAATCGGTGATTAAATAGTAATTGTTTATTTTTTCTGCGAATGAATAGTTCCGAGCTTTTTTCTACTTTTGATAATGACACCAGACCTATCTACTGACAGATGTTTTCGTGAATTGCTACTCGCTTTCTCGGAAGACCTCAAGTTATATTCTAAATGGAAGGGCTTCAGATACTGGGTCATCATCATAAGACAAGATGATCATAGAAATTATGAATTTTAAAATGAATTGACTGTATGAGCTTCAGGCACAATATGACTAAATAAGCAGTTACAACGTTGTTTTCTGAATTTGGTAAACCTTGTGCTATGATAAAAATGTTTTTACACTGACAAGTAAAACAATCAGTCCTCCGTCGTCATGGTAGCAAACGTTTGTTTCGGACTGATTGCAGAGATGTGATTTATTGGACAAAGCATCCGATTCCCTTTTTCTTACAAATCCCTGAACCTTCTATTTGATAGTGAGTAAACAGGCGAATACCGCTGATGATTACTTCAATCTGCTGAATTTTTTCGTCCTCGGTCCGCCTAGGTTATCCCTTAAGGAGATAATTTTATTAATTATAAATTTAGTGATTCCAAACTTTCTAACTGATGAAGGCCTGTTTAATACTGAGAATTCGGCGGCCGCAATGGAGACGTGCGGCTGAAGTCCTATTTTCCTCTAGATCTATAATGACTAATCCCGCTAAGTTAAATAATAAAAATATTAATTATGCACAATAAATTATGCTCAAAATATCATTCAGTTATTGATATTCTATCACTGTATGTAATATCTAGTGAATTCATATAATGAGGAAGTATATTCTACAACAAATCGCAAATTTTCAAGTACTGGTTTGTAGGGATTTGATTGACTGGTTACAGGATTTTATCATGAGCTGACATTGGTTAGAGAACCACTGGAATACTTGGGAGTACTGGACAGCTTCCCCTCATGACAAAGTGCTATACTTCACTAGATAACCTGAAACAAATGTGATCACTAGCTATTATCATCCAAGTACTCGAAACTCTTATTTAAATTAAATCTGTTGACCTTATCTTCAGTGATTAATGTCCTGAATATAATCAAAAATGATGACGTTATCAATATGGCACTCTTCGTTTGAGGGCCAGTATGTTGGCTGTAGATGTAAAGAACTAGCATAAATGGAATACAGATGTAATATTGTGTTAAACATACAATTAACAATTATCATCGCTACAGTAATTATCTCACTGGTAAAATAAGTGTAGCGTAACAGACGTCGAACGCAGACTTTTATGTAATTTCGGAAGCGACAGTAAAAGGAAAAGTACGCCCATCACTTTGATATATCAGGTAGATAGCATTATTCTGAATAGTTATGTTGGGACAATCAGTGTTTGCGAACCAGATGTACGCACACAAGTCTGTATCTCCACTAAAACATATTTTCGATTTATAAGTTCACTACAAGTTATTTAATAATACGGTCTCAAAAATATGTGATTCGGTATGCTTTTGGGAAACCAATTTTCACAGTTTTAAGCAGTCGTCATTTTGTGAATAGTTGTAACTGATAAATATATATATTCATAATTTGACTTTATATAAGTGTTCCCAAACAGAAGTTTTTCTCATACCGAAAAAGGACTTCATTTTTTGTTAAACTACTGATCAATGCTTAGTTCATTTTCCAAGGTAACTTGAATTATTTGTTCAAATAAAAATCAACAGGAAAGCAAATCCTTTTAAATTTAATTCTTATCAAGTACAAATAATTAGAAAAATGTATTTATTGGCGCCATTTAAGATTTTTTTAGCAAGCACTGTCAATATTCTACCGTTTGTCAAAAAGTTTGAAAATATGGGTGGAGAGATAAATTCAAATGATTATACTGGATGAAAAATTTGCTTCGAAATAAGTTTTTGTGAGCTAATCACAGAAAAAACAAACAGTTTAACTTGTTGATAATTCACAACTTAACGTAAGAATTATTTTAACTATGAGTCTGCTTCAGTTAGTGGAGTTGAAATAAGCAGTATGTCTGATTTGTTAGTCTATCTCATATGGTAAAACACAACGGGTTAGTGTCTACCTAAAAGCATTTTTCAAAGTAATAATTTACCTAACTGTAAGATCAGTAGTCAGTGGCAAGAAGACTGAAGCCTACTCAGTCTGCACTAAGACAAAATATGCTGAATAAAACTGTGTTGTGGCATATGAAACAGTTGCTTTCAAAAGCAAAAGGCACCAATTTTACAATCAGATTTATCGTCAGCAGATGAAGTCCAGGGTGTGCTGTGATATTTGGAAAAAATGAAATTCAAGATACATCGCCCTAGTGAGTGAAGCGGTTCCTAAGAAGACTTCACTTTAGCACACCGAATCATTTTATTAAGAAAGAAAATTACGGTATTGTTTACTAGCCACTAGTTAACTTAACGGTCTGAAAGTCTCGCTTTAAATATCTTTCCTCTATTAGAGATATCACTTTTTTTGTTAATTAATTAATTTTAATTGTTCTGTGTTTCAGTTTGAGTAGATGCTGCTGTTACTTCACCCTTCAAGATATATAATGAAAAAACTGATAATATAATAAATCTTCATCTCAGAACTACTTAACAATGCTAGATCAAGTGTCGATTTATACCAGCTTGATTGATTTCAAAGTAGAACTCATCCAAACTAGAACGAAACAACTGTTCGGTGCTCTTTGGTTCGCAAAAGTACTTTGATTTGTGTATACTGGTTCATACTGCTGGTCGGTAATAGTAACTAGCCAGCACTTAAATCAATCTTTGGCACTTAATAGCCGGGTCGAAGTGATCACGACTCCAGATGGCCATTTCGCTCTTTGAAGTTGAACTCATCAGCAGTTTGTACGGTTTTACTCACCTCATTGAGCCGAATCAACTTAAGCCACGCGAATTCCGGTTAGTTGCTTGGGCCCAAGGTCTAGGAAGCATTAACGTTTAGTGTGAGTTGCTTTCAAATTAATCATTTCAAATAGTAGTGCATGGCGTCACGCATCTATGCTAGATTTCTTCATTGCCGTTTATGGTAGCAAGCGGATCACTTATTGCGATCTAAATAATTTCCAGGTTTCCAAAAGAAACTGTGATGAAATTTAACCTGGGATTGTGACGAGATTCACCTTGTGTGCAAAATCAATTTAAATCTTACTTTGAATGACAATACTGAAAAACAACCAATTTACTCTAACTGTATAGATCATCGACTAATCACTCCTAGTTTGTGTGGATTGCCGTAATAATAAGTAAAAAGCGCTAATTTCTTCTGACATTACAGAGAAGTTTTAGACTATTATATGGCTGAGGAGTCTGTAAATAACAGATTTATTTCATTACACACTTCACACGTATTTCCTCCCCACGCAATATCTTCTATGTCACCCTCGCACCGATGACCCACTCGTCACTCCCCATTCGCATTCCATTCGAGCGTTGGCCTAGCGCGCGATATCATTCGACGGTCTCCTCAGTGTGTGCCCAATCCATCTCAATTTCCTCCTACATATTTCTTC